GGACGCGGCCAGGCCGGGGAAAGTAACTCTTCAGTACAACATAGTGGGACCAGGTCTCCGGGCTTGGCAGAAAGTTTCCCTTCCCGTAGGCTGATGGAAGAAAAAAAGGTAAAAAGCAAGAATTGCAATGAAAGCTGTCTGCAGAATAAGGCACAGAAGGTCTGCAGCTGGTCTTTGGTGGGTGACACCGCTGTGACAGTCCTGCATGAGGTCAGGGCTGTCCCGAGCTGCAGCTTTTTTCTTTTCCAGTGTGTCACGTTTTCCAGCAGCTGTCACCTACGTGACACATTTAGCAGTGTGGAAAGTTTCCATCTCCGGGAATCCCTCGTTCACTGTATTCATCGTTCCTTCTCCTGGGCTGAATTTGCTGGTCCTCAGCCAGCAAACCCAAGGCTGTGGTGATTTATCCAGCCTTTGGGAAAACCCCTGGTGAGACATCAGTCTAAATGTTCAGGTCTTCAGCTAAATTTCCCCCCAATTTAAACATCCAGAGTCCTTGGAAAAACAACAACAACCTACCTTCCTCCTCATTCCCAGCACCCCTTGGTACATGTGGTAAATATAACCCTAAATTTAACAGCAGCAGATACTGCCTGCTGAATGGACCCCCTGCACTGGTAGGGAGGACATGGGGAGAAGGGTTTCCTTCCCCTGTTATCATCTCTCCCCTCTGTGGAAAGCAAATAAATGCTCTGCTGGGGCTTTGGGCAGGCAGAGCTCTGCCAGGTTTGTGAGCAGAGTCGGGGTGAAGGATCAGGCTCTTCACTGGGGCGGTTCCCTGTCCATCAGCCAAGTTTGCCATGGAAATCACACCACGGAGCTGATACGCTCTACTGTTGCTTCTCTGCTGGACGGTTCAGGAAACACCACACCAGCACATGCTTTCCAGTAGGTTTTTGAGCCATGGGCGGTGGGAGCATGCCAGCAGAGGTTCTCAGGCTTGAGAAAGGTGTTTTCCAACTTGTCTTCATCAGTATTGTCTTGTGTGACACACAGACAGGCTTTTGGACAGGTGTCTGAGCAAACTTCCTCTTCTCCTGGAAATCACCTTCATGAAGGGGGTCTTTTTTTTCCAGAACTTCCCTTGCACCTAGCGTGTGCATCACTAGAATAGGCTGCCAGCAGCGGCTCTCATGCAGCGTGTGGAGCTTGAGGCTTGGAGCTCGGGGTATGCGTGCAGCGAGGGTGGATGGGGGTTCCCCAGCAAATTGAGCACAGTTGGTCTCTTGCTATAAAATTGTGGCAGCTGTTGGAGCCTCATCATGTGCCAGGGTACAAATTCCTTTTAAGTAGATGTAAAGAACGAAAAACACCTAAAGAATGAAAACCACCCCAAGAATGAAAAACACCCAAATGTCAACATTATCTAATGCGCATAGCCAGAGAATATTTTTCTCCAAACAAGGCAGCCAGTGATGACTTTCTGTTTCTCACACTGTGTGTTTGCGCACAGTCTTCAGTTTGTATCCTGTGTCATTTTCATTTCATTCATTAAGTACTTCTGCACTTTCAATGCTGTCAGCTTTGGTTCAGGGCCTACTGTACTAGTTTTTGCTGGTAGGAATGATTCACTAGCACTAAAAGTATTTGGCTACTGAAATTTTTGGGAGGGTGAGCCCTAAAAGAAGTACTTTTTTTTTTTTTAGCCCTTTCTGCCACCTAGTGCCCATCTCCGTTTGTGCATTTAGATTCCAGAGACCCCAGAGTTTCAATTCTGTACCCTAAATTAAGCCCAAAGGCCACAGTCAGCAGCCTGGGGAAAGGACCTGGTTTTTTTCAGAAGCAATGAGCAACTCCCACTGGGTCCAGGGGTAGAATGTGGTTTCCAAAATTTGGGCCACAAAAGGATTTGTGCTTTCAAATTTTTTTTTTCCCCTTTCCTTTTAACCAGCAGTGCCATAGATTTAATCAAATATTGTAATTTGGAGGCCTTACAGTTAAAGTTGGATTGGTTCTTACATGGTGTCATTAAACTTTGAGCCCACTCTGAGGTGAACATAACAGATCAACAAAAGAGTTAAAATAACTTGTCTTAATAGAATGCTCCTTGAGGCTCTGGACTTCCACTGTGCTCTTCTAAGCCAAAACTCCTCTTCCTCGTCAGCAACAAGTGGAGGTGGCAAAACAAAGTTTTTATGCAGTAATGTCACCTGTAAGTTTTATTTGCCTGCCCTGGCAAAAGAACAACCAAGCAAAAACAGTAACAAGAGAATTGTGCTATTTTCCCCAACACATTCACGCAATCCTTTCGTCTCTGTTCACACTAAGCAGCAGGCCTGTGTACCTTTCCACAGAGGTCTAGACCACCTTCTTGTTTGATGAGGGAGGGTACTGACATCTTCATGTCAGATGCTTGTTCTTGCACATGGGGATATGAGAAGAGGGAAATAAATTCTGCAATGTAACCCTACCCCCTCCTACCAGGGTATTGAGGGGTGCTTTTTCTCTCATCAGGCTGCAATAAATATCTAACTACTCTCTTCCAACCTTTCCAGCATGGATGAAAAACCAGGCATACCTTGCAAAAGCAGGAGCACTTACGTCTGCTTTTGGGGCAGTGAGATGGGTGTCAAGAATAATGAAGTTGTGCTATGCTCTTTGCTGAAGTCCTTACTGCTTAGGTACAGTGCGTCCCCTCTTGTGCTAGGTGTCCTCTCTTCAAGACGGGCCATGAGGGAAATAACCTCGTTGGTGGCCTACAGGAGCCAAAACATAGCCAGTTTACCCATTTGTCTGCGTGCTTGTCTCAGAGCCCAGGACTGTATGTCTTCCTCATCCAGTCATCTACCAGCACACACACTTCATATATTCACCCACTCCTGCAATCATATTACCACATTTGGGGGCTATTTCTCCATCCGTAACTCCTCCATTTCACCTTGTTTCGTTTGCTTTGGATCAGGCCCACCAGCATCGTCACGACTAGCGCAATGCTCTGTGTAGGTGTGAGGCAGATTAACATGGGAAAGCACAACACTGACTATGGTGTGAACGGGTTAGCCATGTATGCCATGTGGAATATTACAGCAGCAACACTTTGTTAAGCATACAACTACATAATCAATCACGGATACATCTCATTGTGCTCTCACAACGTTCTCCGGGGGGATTTACAAGCTGTTCTCCCCCTTCCACCAAAGCAGGCAGGCTGGAGGAAACCAGTAGGAACCTAGTAGCTTGGTCTAGTGCAATGGAGTCTATGAAGAATATTGTCCAGTATTTCCTGCTGGGCAGAAAGGAGAGATTGGGACATTACTAAATATAAATAGCAGGGCGCTCTGTCACATTAAATACTTTACATGTTCACACCCTTGGCTGTACACAGCATGCAGGATGTTGGGGGCTTTTTTATTTTCCCCACGACCGTGCTTTCCCCAAGTGAAACTGTGTACCTTGCTTTTGTAGAGCTGAGAGTCCTGATGCACATGGTTACAGATCACATATACTGGATAAAGAGGGAATATTATACATAGTGGGAAAGAGGAATATTATACATAAATGTAAAAGCAGAGTATAGTGGAATTGCCTAGTGCCTCCCATAGTCAGCTGAGTTGCAGTCTGGCAAGGAAACCTTACGGAGGCAAGGCAGCATGCAGACTTCTGCTTAAGCCCCACCAGAGGCGATCTTCACTTGTCCTTCTGATGTGTCCTGGTTTCGATAAAGCAAACGCAAATTCAGTCCAAGGCTCCCCAGACACAGTCGTTCCTCTGGAGGCACGTCTGTTACCCTGCTGGCGCTAATGGTAAGGTGTGGTGGGGCTGTGTCACAGGAGTGTCTGTTGTCTTTCCCATTCAGAAGCAAGAGGTGAACAAGTTCCTCTTGGGGGCTGGTGTACTTTTCACGATCTTCTTTCGTTAGGAATGCACTGTGTTCTCTGTGACAGAGCCACCTCCAGTGCCTATAAAATTTCGGGAGTTAGCCGATGGCAGGGAAGGCTCTGCCTCAGGGCTTGGTACCTCTTCTTTGGTGTCTCCCACCACTGACTCCTGTGAGCTGGTCTCCGGGCTGGAAGCTGCCTGGAAGCCGGGCTCAGCACTGAGGGGCTCGCTGTTCTGCAAGGGAAGCAGGGCCCGGTGCCGCATCAGGCTGTCATCGCTGTTCTGGGCCTCCAGGGAGTTCCTGCGCTTGGCGTTCCTGTTGGCCATGGCATTCTTCTGTGGCTCCTCAAAGCTCAGCGACAGGGTGACCGTGCCACTCCCAAAGCTGACTTTTTGCTTGCACCCACGCTGCTGCTGGCGCTGCCGCTCAGCAGAGGCCGGTAGAGGAAAAGGGTCTTCATGGTTGCTCTTGCTGCTGATGGAGGAGGAAGGGGTAGAGCCGGTGGAGCCCCCTAGGCTGTTGGAGCGCTTGCGTGACACGTTGCTCCGTCTCAGTGTGGCCCTGGCAGCCACCTTGAAAGCATGGGCAGCTGTGCTGCAGCGGACCTCCTCAATTGTGTTGCGGGAGGGCTTGAAGAGGATGATGTAGACTTTGTTGAAGAAGATGCAGGCCAGGAGCCCGAAGCTGGCAGCCAGTATCGCAATCACCTCCACGGCAGATACAAACTTTCCGTATGTTCTGGCGTAAGCATGAATTAAGGAGATCCAGACGATGAAGAAGATCAGCATACTGAAGGTGATAAACTTGGCCTCATTAAAGTTCTCAGGTAGCTTTCGAGACTTGAAGGCAAAGAAGAAGCAGATGGCTGCCAGGAGGCAGGTGTAACCAATAAGGAAGCCAAGGGCCATCAGGGAGCCTTCATGGCAGGTGATGAAGATAATCTCATCCTCCAGTTCATGGTTTCGGTAACTGGATGGTGGGGCTGTGTAGAGCCAAATCACACAGATGACAATCTGCACAAATGTGCACAAGAAGACCAGGAGGAACTGGAGGTTGAGGCCCCACCACTTTCGGTGGAGACTTGTAGGGATCTTTGCCTCAAAGACGAGCAGGACACGGTTGGTTTTCACCAGGATGCAGGAGATGCAGAGAACAAAGCTGATGCCAAAAGCTGGCTGCCGCAGACGGCAAGTCCAGTTCTGGGGCTCACCAATGAAGAACAATGAGCTGGAGAAGCAGCAGAGCAAGGAGAAGAGGAGGAGGTAGGACAGCTCCCGGTTTGTGGCCTTGACAATGGGCGTGTTGCGAAATTTGGTGAAGACTCCCAGGACAAAAGAAGTCAGGAAAATTCCCAGCACAGCAAAGAGAGTCAGAGCAATCCCAAAGGGCTCTGTCCAGGACAGAAACTCTATCTGCTTGGGGATGCAGGACGTGTGGTTCTCATTGGACCAGTAATCCTCAGGGCACTTGTCACAGGCACTTGCATCTGAAAAAGAAGTGACAGGGAGAGGGAAGGTTTGTCAGAATGAGTGGCTGAAATGTGGGATGACTGTTGTGGCTTAGCCTGGCTGGCAGCTAAAACAGCCACACAGGGGGTGTAGGATGGGGGAGAGAATTGGAAAAAAAAGGTA